CTCTCTAAGGTATAGTGCCTACTTGATATCATTTTATGATTCAGGGAAACTAGTTGTTTTACGTTTGGATATTCACGATCGATGTTGAATAATTGATTTACGATAATTTGTTCCCGATAAACGAGGTTTTCGATTTTGATCAGTGATCAATTGGTATTTTTGCAATTTAATTTAGATTTTAAATTGGGAAACAATTAGTTTGACGTTAAAGAAATCTTGCCGACTAGCTATATAAAATCCAGACGAATTAGCATACATTAGGCTATTGAGGAAAGCAAAAGCTTAGTAAGGCCAATTGAGTATTTTTAAAGGATTTTTACCTACACATCTTATATTACATAACCTCTGTGTCACCTTCCAATATCCCTCCTTTTGCTGAAGTGCAAGCAGCATCCTTTGGGCGGAATACGCTACTCAATTACCTAACCTTCTTGTATCACAGTTATGGAGTGATTTAATAGGTTAAGCCTTATCCTAGTTGTTATTGGAGTGCTATATAATTTGAGGGTGACAATAGCCTAAGCTTGTGTAATATAACGTCCTATAAACTCAATATTGCCTTCCAAACATCCCTCCTTTTGCTGAAGTACAAGCAGCATCCTTTGGGCAGTGTACGCCATTCTATAGCCTACTACCCTATATTGTATGCTTAACGAATTGCTGGTATTTAATCAAAACGTAGAGAGAGTTAAGAGAACACAATTAGCTATAAGGTGTTTACGATTTACTATCTACCCTTAACCTTTTTGTTGTTTAGAGCGCATTTGCGTGGGTTTAGGGTAGCGACCGAGGTTTATACGGGCGTTTAGGTAACGATTAACCTACCGTAACCTATCCTAGATTGCTGAAGTATATTCAGCATCCTAGTTAGCTGTACAGGCTATCTACCCTTGACCTTATTGTTGTTTAGAGCGCATTTGCGTGGGTTTAGGGTAGCGACCGAGGTTTATACGGGCGTTTAGGTAACGATTAACCTACCGTAACCTATCCTAGATTGCTGAAGCATATTCAGCATCCTAGTTAGCTGTACAGGCTATCTACCCTTAACCTTTTTGTTGTTTAGAGCGCATTTGCGTGGGTTTAGGGTAGCGAACGAGGTTCATACGGGTGTTTAGGTAACGATTAACCTACCGTAACCTATCCTAGATTGCTTGAAGAGTATTCAGCATCCTAGTTAGCTGTACAGGCTATCTGCCCTTAACCTTTTTGGTTGTTTAGAGCGCATTTGCGTGGGGTTAGGGTAGTGAACGAGGTGCATACGGGTGTTTAGGTAACGATTAACCTACCGTAACCTATCCTAGATTGCTTGAAGAATATTCAGCATCCTAGTTAGCTGTACAGGCTATCTGCCCTTAACCTTTTTGTTGTTTAGAGCGCATTTGCGTGGGTTTAGGGTAGCGAACGAGGTTCACACGGGCGATTGGGTGACGATTAACCTACCGTAACCTATCCTAGTTTGCTGAAGTGTATTCAGCATCCTAGTTAGCTGTGCAGGCTATCTATCCTTAACCTTTTTGTTGTTTAGAGCGCATTTGCGTGGGGTTTAGGGTAGCGACCGAGGTTCATACGGGCGTTTAGGTAACGATTAACCTACCGTAACCTATCCTAGATTGCTGAAGTATATTCAGCATCCTAGTTAGCTGTGCAGGCTATCTATCCTTAACCTCTTTGTTGTTTAGAGTGCATTTGCGTGGGGTTTAGGGTAGCGAACGAGGTTTATACGGGCGTTTAGGTAACGATTAACCTACCGTAACCTATCCTAGATTGCTGAAGTATATTCAGCATCCTAGTTAGCTGTGCAGGCTATCTATCATTAACCTCTTGGTTGTATAGAGCGCATTTGCGTAGGGTTAGGGTAACGATCGGAGCGTAGCAAGGTTTAGTTTGATCCTATAACCTTTGATACCGATCCTAGTTTTGCTCGAAGAACATTCAGCATCCTAACTAGCTGTACAAGCTATCGAACCTAATTTTTGAAATAGACTCTAACGCGAGAATTGAATTAACAGATAACACGACACATAGATTATACACGACAACGTTTTCTTCCGCGTCTGGTAGGGTACCGATGATGAGTGAATAGCGACAACTGGTTCGCACATTTCACTGAGTTACCCTATCATTTTCAATAAAGGAATTTGATTGAACACAGACGATTGATACTTTAGATTATTCGAAACAAATTTAATATTGAGTGGAATTTCACATCAACAATATTTTGTTGGTTCACATCGACCCCTGGAAATTTAAACCCAGCATCGCTGAACTATTTTGGCAATAGGATAACGAAATCGACACACACACAGAAATTCCCTCACAGTACTACTTATTTAAAATACGTCCGGTTCCTTTGTGTCACTCTGTATTATTATATTTTTGTAATCATTATGAAATTTAGAACAAAGTGGCTATTTTAAAATATTTATAGACTTATAAATTATAAAAATTTATTGAGCGCAAACATAAGTTTTTTTTCATTTATTTTATAATTTTTGAGAAATGTTAACCCCACAAAAATTGTTGAAAATGTTTTTGTAATGTTTTATATATTACATTGAAGCCCATAATTTCCCAAACAAAATTATATATAAAACAGTATACTTTACATTGTTTTTAAGTTTCTAAGATACATTTTAATAAAACCCTGCGATTGCGCAATAAATGGCCGGACATTAATACCAATACTATGGACTTGATTGGTTCAGATCATATCTAACCGATAGGCAACAGTTTGTTGAAATAGCTTCTACAACTGGCGGAAAACAAACAAAAATAAATTAAAAAACACAGTGCATAAAATTTGGAGTCCCACAGGGGTCAATATTAGGCCCATTATTATTCATTATATATTAGGCCCATTATTATTCATTATATACATAAATGGAATTAATTATATTTTGGTTGATCAGAATGCCAACAAAGTAGTTTTGTAAGCTGATGATTCAAATTTGAAAGTTTCAGGACCAACCGATGAACATATTAAAAGATCTGCAGAAGAAGAGTTAAATAACATAGTTACATTTTTGACAAATCTAAACTTACAGATAAATTTAAATAAAACAAACTTTATAAATTTTAATACAAATAAGAACCAAAATGGTTTTTCAACAGAAATAAAATTAAATGACAACATTATTTCAGAAGTAACGGATGCAAAATTTTTGGGTTTAATTGTGGATTGCAATTTAAACTGGAATAAACATATTAACAAAGTTAAAGGCAAAATGAATTCAGGAATTTATGTCCTTAGAAGATTATCTAAATTCTGTGATTTAGCCACTTTAAAAGTAATATATTTTAGCTTGGTTCACTCACATTTGGCATATAACTTTTGTGTATACGGAGCAACAACTCACAAAAACTTAAAAAAGATATTAAAACTCCAAAAGAAATGTATAAGAATCATGCTAGGTTTAAAGTACAAGGCTCATGTAAAGGATAGGTTTAGGGAACTGGGAATTTTGTCGGTGTTTGATTTATATATATATATATATATATATATATATGAATGTGCTATGTATGTGAAACAAAACATGACTATAAAGGCGGTGACACACTATCGATCTTTTCCCCGATCAAGACCCCGAACCGAGCAGGGAGAAGGGAGAAGGGAGATAAATATCAGCAAAATTTTACTCCGAACATTTCCCCGAACATGACAAAGACCAGACGAATTCTACCGAGCGCGGCAAAAGGAAGTTTGGAGAGAGATAGAGAGTGTGTGTGAGTGAGAGCGCGGAGGTTTCTATAACATAAAAATTATTGTTAAAAGTCGCATTTTGAAAACTTGTCGCAAAAATAAAATATTCTAGAAAGGATGCTTGGTTATATCTATTGATTTCTATTGGTTTTATTCATTGAAATAACGTTACAGAATGATCATTTTAATTGCCTTTAATAATATTAATGTTTATATTATTTTTGAAAGAATTTAAGTCAACATCAATTACTTAATTCAACCTTAATATTAATGATATAATTGATTTAACGGTTTCTACACTTTCAACCTTGACCAAACAAACCACAAACATTACATCTTAAATGATTATAATATATAACGGAAACATATTACCCAACATTTATTTATTTTACCAATTAAAGAGTTTAATTGCCATATTAAATCAGAACTATCAATGCTAGCGCAGGCGGCCGCTCGGTGCGGCGCTCGCGACGATGTACGGGGCAAAAATGTACCGTGACACACTATCGTACATCGGACCGTACATCGGACCGATCTTTTCTTTGATCTTTCGCCAAAAAACCGCCTCCAGAGCGCTCGTCTCCCTGCTCGGCCTGATGTCTTGTTCGGCGTCTTGATCGGTGTACGGACCCGTGACACACTATCGAACATCCTCCCTTCGACCTCCCTTCTCCCTTCTCCCTGCTCGGTTCGGGGTCTTGTTCGGGGAAAAGATCGATAGTGTGTCACCGTCTTTACTAGTTTTCTTGGCCATAATCATACTTATAACACTAGACACAAAAATGATTTGAAATTAGAAACACTTAGATTAGAGTTTAAAAAAAAGACCACATATAAGGGTGCCAAATTCTTTAATAGATTGCCCAAAAGTTTGAAAAGTGAGACTAACATTAAGAAATTCAATAAAAATTCAAAGGCATTCATGATTGAGAACACTTGTTATTCAATTAATGAGTTTTTAAATAAAATAAGTTAAATGGCGTTGTTGGTAAAATTTGCTGGTAAAAAGGTGTACTGTTAATACTTGTAAATAGATTAATTTTAATGTACTTATTTTTATTTCCTAGAAATAAGATCTGACACCATTCATTGTACATATTATGAATAAAGCCATATTTGATTGATTGACACTTGGAGGGTTAATCTGTGCCATTACTATTAGTGAGAAAAGTGGTGTATGGATTTCATAACCATTATTTTACTAGAGACCGTTGTATTTAACCACAACAGGCTCTGTTGCTAGTATTGATATATTTGACAAAACCTTGTAAGCAGTAGCTGATATAACTTTATGTTCCAGGTTGTCATGGGAATAACAACTCTTCTGACTTATGTGCCAGTCCCCGTGGCAGCAGCTCACCAGTCAGGAAGTCTATTGTTGCTATCTTTTGCTGTGTGGTTGACACATGAGCTTAAACACGTTAAGCTACCAAAGTAAATGTTGGCTATGTTAAATAAATATATTTAAGTCAATGATCTTGTTTAAATCACCTTGTGTTATGATTTTACTTGTGAAATAATTTGCGAGCAGGTAGGATGATTATAGTATTCAGGATGATTAACACTTACAAGCTGCTATGCCCATGCTTTGCAGCGGGAAGAGGCTGTGAAAGAAGAATGCTGGTCTTTAGATCTGCTGCGCGAAATAGTTACGTATCTATTATCCATTTTATAAACATAACATAATTTTACCCCATAGTATAGTTAAATTCTTTTCTTTATTTTAGATAAGGGGTTTAAACTTCCTAGGCAACCATTTACAGTGTGCAAGTAACTGGCGCTGATGTGTATTTTGGAGTTGTTATGGCTCTGGGCATGTTGTACTACTACTTTGTACTTGTATGCAGTAGATACATCTTGTCTATGGCCATTCGAATCCTGGTTCTGAGGCTATTGGAACTTATGTTGGCCTGTCCTCCAATGTGGCACATTATTGTACCTCACATTGGTCATTAGTTGTGGGATTTATAATGTTCTTTCCTTCTTTGTCTTACAGGTGTTGAAACCTCAGATCTTGTAATTTTCTTTAGTGATGGAACTGAAAAATGTTTTGCTCAGTTGATTCATTTTACAAGTTTTGCACCTCTTGCTTTCTCGAGAATATGATCCCTGAGAGCGTGAGTTGGATGGGTTATCAGCTAAGTTAGGAGCATATGGCTGTACTAACATGTTTCCAAGGTCAGGTGTTTGGTTTGTGTGGATTTTCTGAATGATCCGGTGTGAAATAACAAGTCGTGATATTGTTATTTCACACCCTCACCATACATATAGTTTTTAAACAAGGGCCAATATTTCAGAACTTTATCTCGGCTTAAAGCATTCTATTTGTTGGTTTTATTGATGCATGGCTAGTTAAATTTTGTGCCAGTAGCAGGCAGAGAGGCAATGTGTTATTCCTTGGTCGCTGTAAATCACCCGGTAAGTGTAAACTAGAAAAATACCATTTGGAACTTCTGCCCTGCACCAAACACATTGTGACATTTTTTGCCAAAAAATCTTAAGGATCGCCACCGGAGAAAATTGCTTGAAAAAACCGCTCTATAGATTTTAATGCAGAATGAATATAATATGATTAAGGTGAAACAGTAATCCCTAACCCGCCCATGTTAAAATGACAGTTTTTAGGTACACATAACTTACAAATATTAACCGATCAACTTGAAATTTTTGTACTAAGTTTAACACATTATTGCCAACAATAGTATGAAGCAAAAAAAGTTTTTGAGCAAAATTAAATTATAAGTATGATTTTAAAAATTGTATAAAAATTTTGTTATTTTTTAACATAATATATATTTTTTTTTCAAAGGTTTTTGGTTGTCATGGAAACTGATTCGTATTATTGTTCCTTATCATATGAGGAACACACACACCAATTTTTATTGAAATTGGATTATAATTGAGGAAGAAAAGTGTACCTGACTAAAAACCACTTGACTTTCGGAAAACGACAAAAGTACTCCCTGTCACGGGTAGTAGTAGGACCCTTGGGCATGCTAAAGTAAGAGTGTATACAAGTCGCTGTATAGCTTAATATAATTTTTTCTTCCATAATATTTGGTATGTACGTGTTCAGCAAAGTGTGTTCTACAAAACTAAATAATAAAAAATGTTAAAAAAAATTTAATATTTGACGGCGTACCCTCTGCGTCTTGATTAGTGGACCTTGGACATGCTAAATTAGGCTGCAATAGTTTATAAAAGTAGCTGAAAATTTTAAAATTATTTTTTTTCTTCCTTAATTTTTATTATCTACGTGTTCAGAAAAGTCTGTTCTACAAAACTAAAAAATAAAAAAAAATTTAAAAAAAATTTACATTTGAGTACTGTGTTACCGGCTTAAAGGTAACAAGAGGTATGAAAAAAATTGTATTTACAGAAATGAATGGGATGGTTAGATAATTAGCATATAGAATATTTTGTACAAAACAAGTCCCTTTTTGCTTTAATCTTAAGAATTTGGGATAACTTATAGAGAACCTGTAATTTGATTTTTTTATTATCTCCTTTACTGATTCAAATTCACTTAGTATTACCCTATCTTAAATTTGTTTCACCATCCTTAATAGCACAATAATTACTAACTTTTAGAGTATACTTTTACAGGTTGTAGAAAAATATTGAAATGGGGCATTTTCCCCTTAGTTAATCCTGTTGAACTTCAATTAAATTATAATATTTAAAAAGACATTAGATTGTTCAGAAAATTATCATGAATTCCTTACATTATATGACTGAGTTTGGTACAAAAAACCATTTATTGATTGATTAAAGCAATAAATAGTTCCCAGATTCAAATCCTGCCAGTCACCAATAGGTTTTGTCTATGTCATAGCCAAGTGCCTCTTCTGTCTAGGGCTAGCTTACAGTTCCGGGCTAGAGCCCAGTGCCCTTCCTAGATTGTAAAGGCTGGACAAAATTACCAGCATTTTTAGTTAACATTTGCAATATAATGATAAGTTTATTTTCTATTTTTCTCTATATAAAATTAAAATAGCCCAGCATCAGTTTATGTTCTTTAACATTTATTTTTAGTTTGGGGAATCATCACCAGATATAACATATATTTTTTGTTAAACACTCATAGAGTGGCTCACTATCTACAAACCAAATAAAGCTCTAAAATAATTCCCAGGTATTAAATCATCCCAATTGCAGCTGCTTATAGTAGCAGTGTATTATTTATTTTGATAACCTATTTACATGGATAATTTAAAGATAAACATAATCATACAAAAAGATAGTATAAGGTAGGAGTGATTCAATATATACAATTAACATATACATGTACAAAGTGTAGTATACTTAATATTGGCTGTTATAAAAGATTTTTGTAATATCTGGTTTTAAAACTATAAAAATTATTTTCATGTGTGCGTAGTAACTTTTAAGATAATATTCCATAAACCATTGAGCCATTAAAAATTATTAACCCTAAAATATCTAAAATAAACATTTACAAAAGGATTATGACACAAATCAGTCTGTTAATACATTAAAATAATAAAAAAAATAACATTTTGTACAGCATATTTTAAGCTGGACAGAAACAGGTATAAAAAAGAGAAATTACTTTTGTGAAAGAATAATCCCTAACAAATATTTGCTTATATTATGTACAAAGAGAAATGCACAATTTGTGAGACCATTTATAACACAGAGTCTGTTCAATAATATACAAAGTTATCGATATACAATGGTGCCATTTGCTCAACTGTCCACACGAGATATAGGTTCTGGGTTAACAATAACTTGTACAACAAAACCAGGAGAAAGTTTGGCTTCTTCAATGCGCAGTTTGTCTCCTAACAACTTGCCACCAAAAAACCAACGTTGACGGGAAGGTTCTAGGCCTTCTTGGCTCTGAAAGAAGAAAAAGATCAATACTACATATGTTTAAATAGCACAACTTGTTTATAATATTAACACCTTATAGTTCTGATCCAGGCTTGGTGCTAAAAAAAAAGAGTACGATTATTTAATATACAGGGTGACAATTAAGTCTTAGGACGACCTTATAGCTTTAAAACGAAAAGCGACATCACATCCAAGTTTGGCATATCATTACTGGTAAGCTACTTTTCTGTGTACATGGTGATTGGATGTCACCTATGGAGGATGGCCCATAGGGAGTACGTTTAAAATTGTGTAAGTTGAAAAGGTAAGCTGATATGTATATCAAATCAAAGGTCCTATTAAACTAAACACAATGCCGCAAACCGGAGAGCTTTAAATGGACAACTGAGTCAAAAATGGCAGCCATTCAAAGATAACATGATTCTGCCACATTAAATCTTTAAACAGCTGACATTTTTTACTCAGTTGTTATTTTGAACTCATATTTGCGGCATTGTATTCAACTAGTAAAGACCTTTAATTTGATCTGCATCGACCTATGCTCACATTTATTATTTTCTTCCGTCTTGTAGCAGGTTGTCTAAGGAGGTAGCATATAATAGCATTGCAAATTCAATGAATCTTTGAACAGCTGTCATTTTTTACTCGATTGTCCATTGAGATCCGGTTTGCGGCATTGTGTTTTGTTTAATAAGACCTTTAATTTGATATACATATTAACCTATGCTTAACTTTAAGATTTTCAACTTACTCCTCATGGGCTGCCCCACAGGTGACATCCGATTACCATGTACACAAAAAAGTAGCTTACAAGCAGTAATGATATGGCAAATTTGCTTGTGATATTTCTCTTTGTTTTAAAGTTATAAAGTCGTCCTAAGACTTAATTGTCGCCCTGTATACAGTGTGGTAGAAAAGTCCCGGAACGGTTAAATATTTTAAAAAATAATGCAGATAGAGCTAAAATACTTGGTACAAAGTTACAGGGCATAAAACTCTATTTTAACACATATTCAGTGATTCAATAACTCTTCAGGGGGACGTCCCACAAGGAGTCAGAAGAAAATCTTAAATGGAAGCATAGGTCAATATGCACATCAAATTAAAGGTCTTTTTAGTAGAATACAATGCCGCAAACCGCACTTCAAAAGGTTGATCTTGCACAAAATGGCAGTTGTTCAAAGATTCATTTAATTTACATTGCTATTATACGCTTTCTCCTCAGGGGGCACAGCCCTAGGAATCGGAAGAAAATTGTTAACGTAAGAATAGGTGGATATGCAAATCAAATTAAAGGTCTTCACTTTTAGATTACAATGCTGTAAATTCAAGCTCAAAAGAATGCCTGAGTAAAAAATGGCAGTCGTTCAAAGATTCAAAATGGCGGATTCAAGAAATCTTTGAACATCTGCCATTTTGCGTAGGATCAACCTTTTGAAGTACGGTTTGCGGCATTGTATTCTACTAAAAAAGACCTTTAAATTGATGTGCATATTGACCTATGCTTCCATTTAAGATTTTCTTCCGACTCCTTGTGGGCCGTCCCCCTGAAGAATTATTGGATCACTGAATATGTGTTAAAATAAGAGTTTTATGCCCTGTAACTTTGTACCAAGTATTTTAGCTCTATCTGCATTATTTTTTAAAGAAAATGTATCTGAATCAGGATTCCATTTTAATCCTAAAATTCCAACAGCATGTTGATCCAATACAACAGGAGGTACACAGTGTTCTTTATGTAAGTTTCCTGAATCATTCGAAGCCCATTTACGCAGCTCAAATCACCTTTTTTAAGGATAGCTATAACTTCATCACGCAACTGCAATGCTTCTTGGATAGAATTTGCGCCTAAAAGGGCATCATCCACATAAATTTGTTACCGAAGGATTTTTGAAGTCATGGGATAGTTTTCTCCCTCCTGCTTAATTAGCTCCTGAATAACTCGGTTTGCAAGAAATGGTGATGATGACATTCCAAAAGTGACTGGGGTTAATTGATAAATATCAAGTTGACTTAAAGGGTTTTCTCTCCAGTAAATAAGCTGAAAAGGTTGGTCATCATCGTCATGGATGGCTATCATTCTAAACAACTGTTTTATGTCACAAGTCACAAGTAAAGGTTATCTTAAAAAGACGGAAACAAAGAATAATGTCTTTAATCTCATTATGAAGTTTTGGACCTTGGTGCAAAATATTGTTGAGGGTCAGTCCTGTAGACGTAGGTAAAGACTAGGGGTCTGCGGTACAGAAAATTTAAGGTCGGTACGGTACAATATTTTGTACCTCGGTTCTCGGTACAAAATTGGTACGGTACGCGGCTACCCGTATTTTTGCGGTTTTCTTCTCAGAACTGTATTCAAACCATTATTTTTAACTTTAATACATTGACATAACTATGAAAATGGATAGTATCCTACATTCATGGTTTTCTAACAACAATTACTGCACCACACATTATTAAAACAAAATCTTTTACTACTACGACGATTTTGTCAAGAAAAATCACAGTTAAGATAAATGCTTTATCTATTTTACTCTGAGATACTTTGAATAGCCATGATAAAGTGGTTTTAAATTAGGATAAGAGTTTTTAGGAAAATAAACATGTTTGAAACATTTATTGACAAGATAATTTCACACAACTGGTAAATTATTTCTAACCAACACACAATGTCTAGTTGTTTATTAAATTTTTAAAAACATATAAAAGCATTCAGTACGAAGACAGTGTAGTTGCCAGCTGTTCACAGCAGATGACAATGAAAAACTGGAGGTTATGATGAAGTAATGGCAAAGAGAATCTTTTTTTTATCAGCTTCAAAACTAATTATAAGATTGATACAACTCTTGCAAAGTTTTTTCTGAAACTAAAATTTGGATTATCACAGAGTAAGATTATTGTCTTTTCATTTATAAAGTTAACATCCACACATATCAATCATTAGTTTATCTCAGGCTCAATCCAATTTTCTTAGTATATTTTAAAGCTCTTCCAAAGAATCAAAAGACCCAGGCCTAGACCTAATTATTTAGGAGGACCTATATATAAATTGATTAGGTTACAATGAGGGTAGCAAAATCACTATCTAGTTCATAAGATTTAGATTGCATAAAGTACCTTCAACACAATAAAAAATACAGGAAACTAAAAAACATTTAAGCCTTAAACAGCCACATCTAACAATATAAGACAAGATACAGAACATGCAATGACATAATTTGAGACCGAGTAGGCTTGCATAACGAAAAAAATATGCAAACAACAACAACTATGCTTGTGGTTTCGTCAATAGAAAGATAAAATATCTATAACAAATATTTTAACTTATAACATAAGATTGTAGATTAGTTACAAGCTAATATGTAGCCATAAACAGTTTTATGGCAGTTTAGGCAAATTGAATATTCACGAAAATACTGACTGAGTTAGAGATAACATTTAACAGTCATCATAAAACTATTATTTTTATGATAAAATAGAATTGGGGAAAGTTATAATACTCAACATTTCTTGGAAGTACTTGAATACAATAATTATTGTCGTGATACAATGTTAATGGATTTGGGACTGCTAATGGGTTTTTTATAGCATCATCACCCTAGTAATAAATTATGAAGATCGTAAACTAACATCTGATAAGACTTTTATGTGCTCGGAACCAACTGTTTTTGACTATGATAGTAAACTAAAAGCAATTTATTATTATAATAGGCTGTACTGAACCGAATTTGTACCGTGTAAAATGCTGTACCGAACCGATGACGGTAATTAAGCTTGTACCGTACCGACTATTTCGGTGCACCGCAGACTACTCGTATATGTACACACCATGGTGAGGCAAAAAACGGCCTAGAAAGGTCTAGATTTTTGTCACAAACTTTCATATGACCGGATAGCCTATAATCTTCCATGAAATTTATATAGTTGCCCCTAAGTTCAGGATTAGACTGAAATTTACGTTCCATAGATAGGAAAGTGCGTTTTGCCGTTGTAGAAGATTCTCCTAATTTTGAAGGTTCATCTTTGAATGGTAGTTTACACACAAATCTACCTGAGCTGTCTCTAGAATGATTATCCAAAAAATGGTGTTCACATTTTTCCTCTTCTGGTGACAATTTAAAAATTGATGGAGGTTCTTCAATGGACCAAAAACGTTGGAGCGTTGAGTGTAGATCAACATCATTAGTAGAAAGTAGAGTAGATAACCCACTGTAGTTAGAAGGGCTTTGCATGATAGGAACGTTTCCTAGAATTACATAACCAAATATTGTGTTGATAGCATGAGGCATGTTGTCGCCAAGTGCAACTGTAGGCCCTAACAATGTTTGTGTGAACAGGTCAGCCCCAATCTACAACAATGCTAAGCTGTCGACAAAGATACCTTTCCCCTCCTCTGCCCTTTTAGACATGTTCACCTCAACAATTAAAATTTTGCGTTCACTTGGATTGAGGAGCGCCAGCATGAAGAGTGTTGTGATAATTTACTATATTAGAAAATGCATTACTGCAATAGGGGAATGTTGCGAAATTCAGATGAAATATAAAATAGTAGTTCATTCAAAATAAATTACCTCAAATCTGCTGGCTGATAAATCTAACAGGTTTGAGTTAGGTTAGAGTTAAAGTATTCCGTTTCTTGCCCACTACCCAAAATTGATCTGATATTTAACTCATTTTGTAGTAGGTTATAATATGCTTCCCCTATTAATCTAATTCTTTTGTTTTGCTCTGTATAAACGATGTTGTTTTATTTTGCTCTGTGTAAACATAAGTTACAAATCTTTTATTTACGATTATAATATAACCGTAATGGCGGAATAGCATTTTATAAGGCTCGTATTAAATTTTCCAAAGTTTGTATACATATATTATTGTGATAATAGATCTTACCTGGATATAACACTGGTCTAGAACTTATTTTTGAATCAAAACTTAGTTACACCGTGAATATAAAGGTGTTTCTTGGTGTCGATTCCGAGATCAAAGTAACAAGTATTCAAACTTTATTCATATTATACAGGGTGTTCATTTCAAAATTTACATATCTGTTGTGTGCAAAGGTAAGGCTTTTAACACTTGTTTGTTCTCATTTCCCTAACTACTGAACGGAACAGCACCAAATTTTTTTACAAGCTCATTCTTGAGCTACTCTTTAAGATAACTTGTAGTAAGGGCATTTTCCATGTTATTTTCTAATTTTAAAAAAATCTCAAATTTGGAGAATAAAAGAAAGCTGAAAACTCAAAATTCTTAAATAGCAAGGTATAACAAATTTCATATCATGTGAAAGGTTATTATCGTATTTAAGTTTTCTTTCTATCTCTTACCATTTAAAAATTGCAGTAGAAAAACAGAATATTCTATGGTAAAATTATAACTAGTTTTCTTAGTTAGATAGCCGATATACACTTCCACCGGTAATAATTTTTACCGCAGTGTTATACGATTTTTTTTATCATTCGAGGTGGTCTCGGTCCCGTTTAGCTCGGATAATTGGACTTCTACAGTACTGTGCCGCTAGAAAAAATCACAATTGTCGATCCGGATGAGCGAGAGTCTACTGAAAATAAATTCACCCCTGCATCATAACATTGAATAGCATTGCCTAATTTGAAAAGAATATATAAGTTACATACCTCAAGTTTCTTTTTTGCCATCCCAATAGAGTCACTCGTGTAAAGAGGTAGTTTGACATCTTGGCAGTTTGAAGAAAGTCGCAGTTTCAGTACTATCTCCTGCCCTCCTTCTCTTGATTCTACAACCAACATTAAAATCTTACAAGAAAATTCACTGTCCCACTAGGAAACAAATGATCCTTTGAGCCATAACTTATAGGCCAAGTTATCATAGTTATCAGTTATGATTGAATAAGGTTTATTTACATGTTTTTTAATGCTACGGGGTTACTGAAACAGGGAGATGAGATAAAAGTTGTGTCTGAATTCTGTATATTGGATGGGAATTCAATAATTGAATGCAAAGTATTTATGACAGCAAAATTAACTCAAACGTAAAGAAACTTTAAAGAATAATTTTTAATACCCCTGCCACAGCAGACCTGCAGATTAAGCAAATTTAAATTTGTCTAATTGGAATTGAACTCAAATATTTATACACACAGTTTGACATATTTTACGTGTATAATATAAACAATATAATAATACAGTTAAATACAGAAGAGGTAACCATCAGCTTGGATTCTGGGGAACAAATCAAGGCTTCAGAAAACATAAAATTTCTGGGTTTGTATATGAATGAACATTTAAAATGGACAGAACATCAATTTCAGGTGACTAAATCGTTAGCCAAAGCTTTGTTTGGATTAAGGGTCATCTTCAAAACAACGGGACTAAATGCTGCTTTGACTGTTTACCATTCCTATTTTATGTCCAGGGCTTGCTATGGCATTATTTCTTGGGGCAGCATTCCGATCATAGATGGGTTTTTTATTCTTCAAAATAAGGCCATAAGAGTTTTAACTGACACTGCACCTCATACTTCTTGTCGTCCTCTGTTTGTACATTTGAAACTATTAACAATTCATGCTGTGTATATATATCAACTATGTATATTTGTTAAAAAATACTTGATCTCATTCTCATCAAAAAATCACCAACATCCATATAACACTCGACATAGAAACACTCTTCAGTTCCCTATCCATAGAACAGTTATTTATGAGAAAGCTCCTTTGCATATGGGTAGGAAGCTATTCAACCACCTCCCTAACCAAATCAAATCGACAGAAAAAAAGGATATTTAAAAAAAAACTACTTAGGGAACATTTGGACCTACTTTGTCCTTGTTCAGTTGATGAATTTTTTTTGTAACTAACGTCACTCTTTTTGTTATATTTTAATATTCTGACCTTATTTTTTAATATATTACTAACTACAATGAAATAAAATACATAATATCATGTATTTTGTTGTGAAAAACTGACGTGTCATATGTTTACTGGTGATGTATCACAATTATGTAAATTCTATGTGACAAATAAACATTTCATTTCATTTTTCATTTCATTTCAATATATAAACAAATAAATAATAAAATATCAATCGTGAAGTTTAGTTATGTGTACTAAACAATTAATACTATACATAAAAAAAAGATACGTATTATAAATTAAAGTGCATAAATGAAGGCTTAACTAAATGAGTAATACTCTAATCAAAATCTTGTATTGGTTGTATTTCTTCTATTCTTTCTTCCCTTTCGACACTATCAAGCAATCCTCGTAATTTCTCCTATTCTTTCTTCCCTTTTGACACTATCAAGCAATCCTCGTAATTTCTCCTTTTCTAAAAATCTATAGTGGCATCAGTCTAATATAAAACGGGAACACCAAATAGTTATATAGCCTACTTCACTAATAGACACAAGTAAAACAGTCACCTCTAACACAGAAGAGCGCATAGCTAAGGACTTACACAACAGGGTGCACTCAGAGAAAACCTCTGCAAACTGACACTGCATCACTGAAATGCAACTGACAACAAAATAAAGAGGAATTTGGGGGTAAAAATAGCTTAGGAGCATTCCCGGGATGAGGTGCGTGAAGTATAGAGCCGGACACGACTGCTGACACCCATTATGCATAATTATTTTAACAAAAACTAAAAGTGCGGAGGAAAACTGCACAAGCACCCGCTTGAGGGTTAGTTTTTTTTATTTATTCCCTAAATAAATGACATTAGGTTATTAAGAATGAAAAAAGTGCTTTATTTTTCACAATTTATTTTTATAGCTGACATGTAAACAATAACAGAAACACACAAAACAATGGTTTATTTAAACTGTATGTTTGGTTGGCACCCTGCTGTGAAATTACATATTTGAAAAATGTAACATAAGTACCAATTTAAACTATACACATTTAAATGTATACAGTAGAACCCCTCCGGGCCATAGTTGGAACAGCCAAAATGTTGGATATCGGGAATAGCATATCTTGTGGTATCGGTGACACCGGTAATCGTCTTCTGTGATCGCAGCAATACCCGTGAGCATACCTGCGATCACAGCTACATCGGTAATCATCTCCCGCTATCACGGCAACAATGGTAATCGTCTTCCGCAATCACGGCAACACCCGTGAGGATATCTTGCTGTCTCAGCGACACCGGTGGTCATCTGCCGTGACTATGGTATCACCCAGGATCGGTCACACAAGGTCAGATATCCCGGGGAGTCAGTCAAGGGTCAAGAGATAATAAACGGAATTGTAAACACTTCTCTCCAGACAGCCCAGGAAACAAAGTCATGGGTGAGGAAATATGAGCCTTACACAACATATGGCAGGTATGAGTAATCTACTAGAATATGTAAGTTGGACGAGAAGCTTAAAAGATTAGCTACAAAAGAGGACATTGTAAGTATTAACGATAAAGTTTAGGAATCTTAATATATAAAAGAAAGTTGTGTTAGTTACAGCGTTTATAACTAGAAAACTACTGAACCAATTGGCATGAAAATTTACAGGGATATTCCTTAGGTACTAGAATAACATAATAGCCTGTTTCCGTTTCAAAAACCCTTAAGGGAAGCGTCCTATGGCCCTTTGCAGTTTACATGTTAATCTTATAGAAGAATGTTTTATTTTGTTTACCATGCCATGTTTGTCATTTCTTGATTAAATTAAATTGAGGAAACAGCTGTTGTAATGATAACCTAATTTTTAAATACCCCCGCCGCAGCAAACCTGCAGACTAAGCGAATTTCCATTAACCTGATTGGATTTACACTAAAATGCCTTCATAAAAACAGCACATTTATTTCCTATTTAAATAGAATTAGTTTAACGAGTACTTAGGTTTGCTGCAACAGGGAGGGTAAAAAAGATTTTTTTATAAAATGACAATAGTTTAGTAAGGAATAAAAGTATTTTCCAAAATCAATCAAAATATGTTCATAAACAAACATTATGTTCATAAATGCTTATGTTCATAAATATGTTCATAATATGGTCAACTACAACAGTTGACTTATTCTCCATAAGAATAACATGGGAATTTTAAAATTACAATTTTTTTGAATTTTCTCCGTAACAATTAGGCGCATAATTACGCTTCAATATACTAAATTATTTGTTTTTTTAAGCTATACAAAATGGTTTAAAAAGAAATTGTGAAATTTTGTGTTTTTAGGGTCAAAAATGGGAAAAACCTATTTTTACCCCATAAAACCCCCCATAAACCCCCGTTCCCATGGTCCGATCATGCTGGTTCGCGAACTCATTCAAGTTTATCCCGCCTTACACCTTCAAACCAAATTTCATCAAAATCGGACAAAAATTACTCAAGTTATCGTGCGGATGGACATATATATACAGGGTGGTAAAAAAGTCCCTGGACAGTTAAATATTTTAAAAAATAATGCAGATAGAGCTACAATACTTGGTACAAAGTTACAGGGCATAAAACTCTATTTTAACACATATTCAGTGATCCAATAATAACTCTTCAGGGGGACGGCCCACAAGGAGTCGGAAGAAAATCTTAAATAGTAGCATAGGTCAATATGCACATCAAATTAAAGGTCTTTTTTAGTTGCCGCAAACCGCACTTCAAAAGGTTGATCCTGCGCAAAATGACAGTTGTTCAAATATTCATTTAATTTACATTGCTATTATTACGCTTACTCCTCAGGGGGCACAGCCTTAGGAATCGGAAGAAAATTTTTAACGTAAGCATAGGTCGATATGCACATCAAATTAAAGGTCTTCACTAGTAGATTACGATGCCGTAAATTAAAGCTCAAAAGAATGCCTGAGTAAAAAATGACAGTCGTTCAAAGATTCAAAATGGCGGATTCAAGAAATCTTTGAACATCTGCCATTTTGCGCAGGATCAACTTTTTGAAGTGCGGTTTGCGGCATTGTATTCTACTAAAAAAGACCTTTAATTTGATGTACATATTGACCTATGCTTCTATTTAAGATTTTCTTCCGACTCCTTGTGGGCCGTCCCCCTGAAGAGTTATTGGATCACTGAATATGTGTTAAAATAGAGTTTTATGCCCTGTAACTTTGTACCAAGTATTGTAGCTCTATCTGCATTATTTTTTAAAATATTTAACTGTCCAGGGACTTTTTTACCACCCTGTATATATCTATATATAGATATATAAAAATTTGAACGAATGGTGTTTTTGGCCTCTGGGGACATAAAAATGAAAAAGTAAATCGGTCCCGGGCTTAGGTCTTACCATGAGACCTACGGTAATAGCTACTTCCCTATAGGGAAATTCGCTAAAACAAATCTATGCATAACAAATGAGAGCTATCAAATAGGTTTCTATTCCATTTGTTTTTTACGAATATTTGTTGTCAAATGTAACTGAAGGCAAGTGAGCGCAGCGAACGAGCTCCAACCTAAAGGTGAGTGAGCGTAGCGAACGAACTTCAACCAGGACGTGATTGAGCCATGCGAACGAGCTCATCTTGAAAATGAACGAGCATTTGACATAAAACCACATTAGGACAGGACGACATCTGTCGGGCCATCTAGTTAGTCTATAAAAATTAAAATTTGAGGGAAGAAGTAGCTAACCAAAGCGCCAGGGAAGAATAGTTGAGGTTTATTTATTCATGTTTGCTGCTACAGAAGTTACTGCTACACGTTCACTGCGGGCCACTCCCAGGTGAGTGCTCTAGTTCCTTTCTGCCACTCTGAACGCTCACCCGTGAGTGGCGACATTGCCTACATTCCATTCAATTTCTGTGAAGCAGCACACCGGGAAGAATGGGTATTC